GGTGCCAAGAGCTCCACCTTAAATGTTCTTCAGTTGGACATATTTAAAACATGTGAGATGATCCACATAAAAATTCATAAACTATCCGACATGAGACTCTTGTTTCTGTTATTTTTAATATGCATGCTTGAGTTATTGGTTGTTGTCAAACTCGATTGTGAAAATCTTGCAGTAAATTAAATCGGTTATTGTTGATATGGTTTTCAACAAATATCGCTCAGGTCTGTCCAATATTTACTTTTGCCTAATTTTTCTTCTTTTTTGACATTATGTATTTTTCTGGGATTTTCAATACTTTTCACATTTCATTCATTTCAGTTTCATTTGTATCTCCATAGATTTCGAATCTCCTAACACCTTTTTCAGACAATGATCAAAAATTGTAACATTCAGTGGCAAATAAACAGTGTCAGGGTTTTTTTTTGGTAAGTGAACTCTGCCCCAATCTCGCAAAGTTTCATTTCAGTGTAGAATGAGACGAAATGAACAGAAAAAATAAAATAGGAACCAAATATTATAAAAATGATGGTAATGACCATTCCGGTATCGGAATCATTCCGAAAAACGCAGGTAATATCTTATTTTAATTCGAGATTTTTATTATGAAAGAAAAGGTGCTTGTGCAAAGGCAATTTTTTTCGAAAATGGCAGCTTATAAAGATGAATAACTGAACTTTTTCCATCTTATTATCGACTATTGAATAATAGCTGCAAAAGAAAAAATGGATGAGTAATAAAAAAATCTAAAGGAAAAACACAAATTATATATGGACTCAGGTAACCCACATAATTGTTACCAACAAAAGTGATACATTTATTCATGTGGGAGCAGTTGAAATCAAAAGTCATTACAAATCAATGAGAGGCGAATATTCTTGCGAGTGAAACCTGTTTAAAAATCTGTTTAAAATCTTTTTTTCCGTTAACCAGCTGTCGCATCCCTACGAACGACAACCCTCAGAAGTCGAAACTTGTGCGAGCTAAGAATTAACGAGGTCTTACCATTCAGCGTGTGATTCCTAACACGGGTTGGACGGTAGTAAGTGAAAATTGATAATTCAGCGTGGGGCTCGAACCACCGACCAACACGGCAGTCAATTCGAGTGAGTGAACAAAACACCCACTTTCAACCGACCGGCTAACGACCGATGTTAAGACAGATTTGAATAATCTCAATTCGGCATGAGAAAGTTTCAACAGAACACAATAAAAAGGTTTGGTCCATAATAAGGACAAAAATGTCAAAAACTGATCATACCAAATTGCTTGAATTTATTGATTTGACAATAAAATATCAAACATAATTACTAAAACTTGTAATAACTGAGGATGCCAATCACTTGTTCTAGAGTGCTTACTATATCAGCAATGCAAATAGAAGCCGTGAATGGGGAACAGCGACGATACTCCAGACGTCGCGACGTTGATCGATGCGTCCTATTCGAGAGCCCCATTGGTAAATATAGACTATAGAAGGCGGGATTTGCGAACCCCCATCGAAAGTAAAGGCGGGAAAAAGTAAACAAACTTGTTGCAATTCAAAAGTTCAAACCAAAAGGTAACCTGATCGAAAACAGGATGATGTAATTATATGTATAATCATTGTTTTCCAGAACTAAAATTTTTTTATCTCTAAAATACAGTCTTTCATTGAGGGCTTCCTAGCTTTAAATTTCGATTAAATAAAATGTGTGTGTGTGTGTGTGAGATATCATCGAGATTTTTTATTTGTTTGAGAAACTTATTAATGCCATTATGTGTGGAATATAATATCGTTGAAATATTCGCCACGGTTTCTCTGGGCGAGCGCATTCGGAACGACCATTTTTCCATGACTCTGGCGCATAAATCAGGCTGAATTTGACAGCTGGCATGGCTTATATTGGCCTTGAGGACCGCTGTGGTTTGTGGCTTATTCGCATACACCTGCGCCTTTAGGAAACCCCACAAGAAAAAGTTCAACGGGGTAATGTCGCACGATCTCGGTTAACAGTTCACAATACCTCCATGCCCTCAAATCACTCGTGCTGTGTGGTACTTAGCGCCGTCCTGTTGAAACCACATGTCGTTTTCAATGAAATATGGACCATTGACGTCGTCAGCTCAAAATCCACAGTAAACAGTGACTTTTTCGGGATGCATCTCATGTGGATTGGTATCATCCTAAATTCGACAATTTTGCTTGTTCGCGTACCCATTCATCCAGCAAGCAGCTTCATCGGACCAGAACCTGTCATTGGCATCGCTTTAGGCTTTGCCAAACAAACATTGAACACCTGGATGGCAAGAAGATTTATGGACTTCTGGCAGAATCTTCAAGGATTGGCTCACTTAAAGGGATTTATTCACCCTTCGAAGCTTGATACCAAACAGTTGTTGGACTACAGTAGGGATGAACTACGATGTCTGACAGGCCTTCTTACAGGTCACTGTCATTTGAATCATCATATAATAATAATAATAATAATCGTCTTTATTATGCAGAGACTCCGACTGTCGAAAGACAGTGTGTGTCGCCTCTGAAAAATTACGAAACAGCAGAGCACATACTTTGTGCCTGTCCTGCTGGGGACCGAATCAAGTTTTTAGAGTTCGGCAGAGCCGTAGTTTTACCATCTGACCTGAAAGACTACTCACCATACAAACTAATCGGGTTCGTCAAGAAGCTGGGTTTTAATGGTCGAGTGTGAATAGGTATGAACCACAACAAACCCTCGCGGATTGCGGTGAAGGTTGAATAGACCCCACTCAATTTGCACCTAACTTGACCTAACCTAACTCATCAATCCAGAAATGAGCGTCATCGCTGAAGATGATTTTTCGATGATAATTAGGGTCAGCTGCCAACTGCTCCTGAGTCCATTTAGCGAACACACGTCATTGTCTATGGATGTTTACCTTGAGTTCCTGGGTCAGTTGAACTTTGTACTTCTGGCAGACTTCTGCAGACCCAAGTCACGACGCAAAATTCGCCAAGTTCTGCGAAAAACCGAGTTCTTGTGAGCGATGCGTAATTGACTGCTTCGAATCCTCCTGCAAACTTCCACAGACAGCGGCGATGTTTTCGTCGGATCTTGCGTTTCGTCGACGTACATGTGTTGATCGATCGTTTACTGAACCAGTGGACTCAAATTCATTTACCACATTGCGACTTCTTCACCGAAAGGAGAAAATTGGACGATCTAACGCTACTTTTCCTCAATGGTGATGTCATTCTATTTGGAACGGAGGTGAAATACCTTCGCATTGTCCTTGATAAAAAACTCACCTGAGACCCTCACTTGTAAACATTTTTACACAAAGTCAGACTATCTCTATGGACATGTCGAATGATTTGTGGTGAAACTTGGGATTTAGTTCCCAAACAAATCCATTGTATTTATGTAATAATTGACCAATGATCACTTATGGTGCAATTGCCTGATGACCGAAGACTTTACAGAACACGGCACAGGCAAGGCTTTCTGGCTCACAGAGACAGGCTTGTCTGGCCATCAGTTGTGCCATCAGTACCACACCGTCAGCGACCTTGGAGATCCTG